AGTCTTTTGAATGACTGAGATCAACCCACCTTAACTCTGCTGTATTCTACAATATAACAGATCAATAATTCAATAAATCATATGCAGACTTGACTCTATAATCTGTTAGAATAGGAGACTATAAACCTTTTTGTCTTCCCAAAGTCCCCTAAGGTGGCTATGACGCAGATTAAGGTCAACGAGTTTCTTTGGGTTGAAGTTTGATGGCAGGTACTCCAAAGGGTAGCCCTCCCAATGGAGGTACACAAGCTCATCTGGCAAGCAATCAAGACCACCCGGGAATCGAAATTTACAGTCATTCTCACACCGTTGAGAACAATGAGAATTGTAGAACTTGAGGAACTTGAGATTCCACATCTTTGTGAAAACATCGGAACTTAGCTTCATGCTTTCTACATTTGACATATCCAGGAAGATGCCTCTAGTTTCTGCAGTTCCCTGATAAGCAAGACCAAAACATTTAAAGAACATGAAAAGTAGAAAAAATTCAACAAGAATCACATCGATACCAGATATGGTATACAAGTAATGAGACATTTGGCTCACCGTTTTATACTTCAGCACATGACATATATCTTCTTGGTGCCATAATCGACCACGGTTTCCTGCCTCTTTGATGGATGATTCATAACCAATTTCCTTCCCCATTGTAAGCAGCAGGTCATGCATCTCAAGCCGATTGTCATAAATGGTTACCAAACACTTATCAACAAGATCATCTATCACAGTTAGAGCATCGATATGGTCTGTATCCAGAATCTTGGAAACAAAATATGATTTTTCTGACCTGAAGAAACACGCAACATCTAGAAATATGCTCTTCTGTTCGGGGCACAGTTCCTCATAACTGATTTTTAGCACCTCCTGAATCTTACCGTCTGGCCTTTTCTGCAATCTCTCCAATTTTTTCTTCCAGTAAAATTTGTCCCTTTGACATAGATCAGAACCTAACAACTTCAAAGCTAACGGATGCCCTTTAGCGTAATCGACAAACTTGTTTGATAGATCCAAAAATTCTGATGTGGGAGAGAGGTTATTGGAAAATGCAGTCAAGCAGAAAAGCTCCAGTGCTTCCCTGTCACTTAATCTCGGAACCACATATGTTGCATCAACGATCTTCTCTAGTAGTTTCTTGTCTCTGGTTGTTATCACAATCCGACTTCCTTCGCGGTACAACTCTCGTTCCCATGGTCCGATAAGAATTCTTATTTGATCTTCATTTGTCACATTGTCAAGAACAATAAACAGTCTCTTGTTCCGAAGACGATCCTTCAAAGCTTCATGTGCTCCATCAGGGGCTCCAACATCCAGATTTTCTTCATCCAATAATTTTCGGAGGAGTTTCTGCTGCAAATAATCTAATCCATGTAATCTCTCTTCATTGTAAATGTTTGCGAGAAAGCAGTACCCATCAAATTGGCCGTAACTTCGTTTATATACGCAATCTGCAACAGTTGTTTTACCGATACCCGCCATACCAAGAACACCAACAACTCTCACACAACTTTTCTTTTTAAGATTCAATAACTTTTCCAGTTCCTGCATGCGCAATTCAGCCCCAGGAAGACCACGGATTTCACATGGAGACAACTTGTTCAGCGTCTTGAAAGTTTCCTTGGCTATTTTGTCTACAAAGTCACACTCGTGACTGCCAAATGCCAAAAACAAAAACGTCAAAATAAGTAAGGTAATAAATAATGTCCCAAGATAAATTGAGGTCAAGCAAGAACCTGACTTCGAAATTAAACGACAAGGACACCTGAGCTCGATTATCAAGTCTCTATAAGCCTTACCGGTATAGAAGATACAAGTATATTTTCAAAGAATAGGAGATGGAGTAGAAATAAGTTATTTTCTAGTGAAAATGTAACTATTGCATTAAAAAAAAAAACTTTCACGAAAAATCCAAGTATAGGTTATGATGCTGAAAACAAATGAGCATTGAGTAAGTAAGACTACTCAAATGCGAGATAAAGAGTGTGCAGACTATTCAGGAATGTTTTGATAATCTTTCAGCAGTTGTATCTAAAAATGTTTTGGGGCGTTGAATTGGTCTATCTCAAAGGTATATTCCAGGCAGAAGAGAAAAAATCCATATCCAGAACTTCATCAGAATCTGAAGAAGTTGGATCTGGATCATATTCGACAGAAACTTGACTGCGTTTATGTACCTGAAGATGCATAGGAAGTCCCGTGTCTTGCATGTCTTAAAGAACATAGCCTCGCACAACACTTTGCTCACTGGCAATGCAACATGTCTGCTAAAACTGAACCAACTCCTTCCTTTGATGACAACTACCGGAGTAAGAACTGAGGAAACCATCAGGACTCTTCCACAAAAAACAGAACCTGGAATATACCCAATACCAGCTAAAGTAATGACACCATCAGATTGTATAGGTGATGAATCTACGGCAGCCACAACTCCAACCACTTTGGATGGAGAACGAGCTTCTACAACCCGCTCTCCATGATGAGATTCTCTATAGCCAGGTTTATTTTCAGGAGCATAACGTAGCTAAATTGGCTACAACTAGAGCATTTGAGTGGCAGGGGAAGGTACGTGGCACAGATCCTGGCTATGGTCCCAACTTCATCTTCGACGGCAACATCATGGGCAGGAATTTGATTTAAAGAGATTACATCACAAACGTTGTAGCCAGACCAAATTGGGTGGTATCAAACAAAAAATTATCTGTGTGCATAGGTTTACAAGTACCGTTGGTGATGTAATTGGGCTATAGAAACCTTTCAAAAGGTAGATCACCTAAATAGGAGCAGAGCAAAGTTGAGGCTTCTCTAGGGTTGAAGATTAAGCCACTCCTAATACAAATGACCCACAGACCAATTCCCTTTTTCTAAGCAAGGGAACATGAATTAAAAATCCAGTTCTTTTGCTTCCTATGAATTGTCATTTCTCCATACTTTACCAGTATTGGATTCAGGTCAGAGAAGAAACTTAGGCGTCGCAGGCAGAGTTCCGTAAATCTGACCTATTATGTACTTCTTCCAAGTTTCAAATGAGCAAAGGAGAGAGCTTCGTGGCTCCGACTGCTGGGATTTGGAAAGATGATCGATCAAGGAGTTTGAATTCGGGAAATTTGGGGATAGATTCTTTTTCCTTTTCAGGTGAACAAGAAACTCTAGGAAGGGAAACAATGTCGGAACAAAGAATGAAGACTGGCGACGGAAGCGCGGACGATGGATGCGAGGTAGTGTTTTTGAATTCTGTGAGAGAGAGAGAGAAGGGGCAGGATTGCTTTTTTTTTCCTTTCTCGTGGGCAGGATTGCTTTAAAGTTAGAACCTTTGCTTCTATTGTCAAATAAAAAACTCAATTTTGTTTTGTTTTCCAAAGAAATTAACGCAATCGAGTGAAAAGGAAAGGGAATGGATAGATTTGCTAGTACCTTTGCTCCGGCAGAACATAGCCGGCGATATTGGAAGCAGTCGTCAAAGCTTCTTTCCACGCCGGAACCCTGTGCTGTAACCCTGGGAAACTCTCGTCGACATTCTCAAACGGTGCTCCGAATTTCCCAGTCTGATTCGCCACATCAGATTTCTGCACTTTGTAGAAGATCGGCAACACTACTTGACGGAATCTTTCTCTGCACTCGATGATCTTCGCGATTTCCTCCAAGCACCAGGACGAATTCGCGTAGTTCTCCGAGAAAACGACGATAGAGATCTTCGATTGCTCGATTCTGTCCAGGAGTGCCACGAGGTCGTTGCCTTTTCGGAGTTCCTCATCAAAGAAAGCGTCGATACCTTTCCTGCGAAGGAAATCGTGGAGGTAGCAGGTGAAGGTATGTCGTGTGTCTACGCCTCGGAAACTCAGAAACACGTCGTACTGCCGGCGGGAAGGATCCGACA